GTATATTATACATCGTACTTCTACTAGGATGAGTGATTTAAGTTCTATTCATGGTAATGCAAAGATACTTTTCTGACTGAGCCAATGTAAAGAGCATTTTTATATTCTAAGTGCCTAGAAAATAAAAATTCTAGTACTGTTTCTACTTCACCTATTACTGTGAGTCCCACTATAGAAATAGCCTTTTTGCAAGTAAAATGATTTATACCGGAAAACTAACTTCAATTTTTCCAAAATAATTAGTGTTATTCTAGTCAGAAGAAAGACTGAGGTACTGTCACCCATATATTTTTAAATGTTCATTAAGTTATTTGAACTTTTAGATGCAGGACTCTATTAATTACATAAAATTAGTATAATAGTTTATTCTGTCACATTATAAGAATTTTTAAAATAGAGGGACATTCATTTTAGAAAAATGTGGAAATAACTTGGGTCTCTAAAGAATTGTAAGGTATGTCTTCAATATTTGTTACTAACAATACTTATACACTTTATTTTTTTTGAGACAGGGAATCACTCTGTTGCCCAGGCTGAAGCACAGTGTTGCTATGATAGCTCAATGCAGTCTTGAACTCTGGGCTCAAGGAATCCTCCTACCTTAGCCTCCTGAGTAGTAGTACAAGCACATGCCATGATATCTGGCTGATTTTTGTTTATTTTTTTGTAGAGATGGGGTCTCATTATGTTATCCAGGCTGTCCTCGAACTTCTAAGCTCAAGTGATCCTCTCATTTCAGCCTTCCAAAGTACTGTGATTATAGGCATGAGCTACTGCACTCAGCCCACATTTTTTAATGACTCACTTTCTCCAATAAATCAGAGTAGATTCAAGTAAATACAAGAGGAGATAAAATCAATGCAACCATGTAAGTAACTGAATACAGAAGATGAATACTTCCAAAATCTTACCTATGTTGTCTCATTTCTTCTATGTAGCAAGCTAGTGCAGTAATTTTAATATCCTTATTTAATAGATGAGAAAATGATGACTTGAAGAGATAAAATAACTTGTCAAGATCCCCCAGAACAGAAACTGGAACTAAAACCCCAATTATCTGACTCTAAAATACATGGCTCTTCTTTTCACTACACTTTGCAACCTAGTAAGGAACACCTACATAAAATGTCCAGTCTTTTAATACCTACTAAAAAAAGTGACAATATGAAGTTTATAATGAATGGTGATAATGAACAGACTAAAAATTAGTAATAATCTAATACAAATATTTAAGAAATTATTCCAAATTATGCATGACATTAAATTTTTTAAAGCTGAATTATGCAATATCCTCCAAAAATTGAGAGATCTGAAATATTCATAGAAAAGGACCAAGTAAACTTTGTTTTACCTAGATATTCTGAATTCCAAGAAAAAATATGGCCCCATATTTTGTCAGCCATACAGCAGTTTTATATGGTAAACTAAAATTATACTTACAGAATAAGAAAAAGTAACTGCTTGGGTCTAATTCCTTTGTTCTGACTCTAATCTGCCCTCTCTTTATTCTTCACCATTTTTCCCCCAGATCTAGGAGGCCTCTTCTAATTTAGGGTAGCAGCCTTCAGTTCCAGAACTCTAACAGATTTTGATGCAAATATAGATACACAGAAATGAAAACTATAAAACTGCAACAATTGGTAGAGTATTACAGAAGATATCAAAGTTTTGGTTAGTTTCCAAATCATTAACTATGGTAGAATAATGGGTGACTTCTCTTTCTTCTCTATATCAATTTATTCTGAATTGATTATAAGGCATTTAACTTTTATAATCAAATAAAAATAAGAAAGGAGTAAAAAAAGGGAAGAAGGTAGGGAGGGAAGGGAAAATTGTAGCCTTGATTTAAAAAAAACCTAATTGTTTCTGAATTCACTGAATCTACAACTAAAGTTATAAAACTGTGACCTACTTGTTCCCCCTCTCAATAGCATGATAGGTTAACCATAAATAAGCATGCCAAAGACAAATAAAATGTGAAAAATATTAATAAAGCAATCAAGAGATCTATAAATTCTGAGACATAGCTCTTAATATTTAAGAAATTACTATATGAATGAGGTAAGTATGAAAAACCTACTTAGGGTACACAAAAACTAAAAATCAAGATTCAAATACTTAAAGAAGTATGCAGGAATTTCCCAGGTATAGAAAAATTACAAATATACAAATGTGTGAATTTACCCATTTCCACTTACTTCTTTAGTATAAATTGAAGGTTTATATCAAAATATTCCTTAGAACCATGAGACAACACCTAAGATAGTTGAAATACTAACTTCAATGTCTCTAGATAATTACTTCAGTCTCCATGAAGCAGTTCTACTAAAAGAAAGTTCACATTTGTAAGTTTTTTCCATTACAAAAGTACATTCTTATTCCAAATGAACAGACATAAGATTGATCCAATTTATCAAGTTTGTTACCAAAATTTCGCATAGTTGATAGTTCCTTGGACTTCCCTCCAAAAAATGTTCATTTATAAATCAAATACAAAACTATAATCTATTTACACAAGAGTCCAATTTTAAAGCAAAACTTTTATTTATTCATCAAATTTCCTTTTTTCTGATTACCAAAATGCAGTTTACTCATTTGGGTCTTGATTACAAAGACGATGACTTCCTACTCACTCACAAGATTGCCTTGAACAGTCTCATGTAATTAAGTTACTATAGTTTTAATAAGTACAATTCCCATTTACAAATTTAAAAAAGCACCTTATGATAATTTGGTAGGGTGTATATACGTATGCCGAGTTTTTTCTTTTTCTTTTTTTGAGACAGAGTTTCGTTCCTGCTGCCCAGGCTGTAGTGCCATGGTGTGATCTCGGCTCACTGCAACCTCTCCGTTCCCAGTTCAAGCGATTTTCCTGCCTCAGCCTCCCAAGTTGCTGGGATTACAGGCATACGCCACCACGCCCCGCTAATTTCGTATTTTTAGTAGAGACGGGGTTTCTCCATGTTGGTCAGCTGGTCTTGAACTCCCCGTAATCCTCCTGCCTCGGCCTCCCAAAGTGCTGGGATTGCAGGCATAAGCCACCATGCCAGCTCACAAATGCTGGGTTTTTTAAGCTTGATCATTTTAGTCCCTCTATTCCTTAATGTTTACTGTGTAACAGTGGTCTTGGAATAATTATTGCTAAATATATAGGTGGTAGGTACAACTCGACTCTTCTGCATTGTTTGAAATTTTTCATAGCAAAATAGTTGAGAAAAAAACTGGCAAATTTGAAATGTTCACAGTCCAGAGTTAGAGTAACATCTACACCGAAGATGAAATGTGATTTGTCTACCAAAACCTGAATTATTTCTTTTGGATTAACGACATCAACCTTTGAAGTAGTACAGAAGCTGCATAAACTGACGCTATATAGTTTTAGATGATGCTAAAACTTTGTAGTTTAACTATGTTAGTTTTAACTATGTTAATGCTGTCAACAATCAATGCAGAAGAGAAACAGATCTTCACCCAAGATCTTTCAAAGATGAAAACAGAATTATGCCTGTGTACTCTCTTAATATATTCCCAACATCTTTGGAAGGATAATACTCTTGGCTCAAAAGTACTAGCAGAAAAGCTTTCGTGAACAACAAAAAGATACACTCCACCTTCCGGTGCAGTGACTGACAAACCTGGAGCTATTCACAAATGTCTTCTTAAAGGCAACATAAGTATACCAGGACTACAAATTAACACACTATATAGATTTTGCAATACTTTTTTTTAATCCTGTTCTCATTCCACATGTAGATTGAAAGGTATTTTCTAATCTTTAATCACTAAAATAGTTTTGATCTGTTCTTACTGATTTTTCTGTTACACTTTCATATAGGTGACTTCATCTGAGAAATGTATCTTAAAATATCTGGAGAAAAGGAAAATGGCGGTACACCTTTACAGCAGTTTATGTCAAAGTGATAGTGAGATCATCATTAATACATGCAACTTTATCTGAATTAAACAGATTAAAAAGCTTCTCCTTTTTTAACCATAAGGCGAAGGAAAAATGTAAGGCTACCAGGCTTAACAAATTATTAGATTTTGGATTACACTGCAGTGGATAGCAAAATTGCAAACATACAAAGTAAAAAGTGCCCACCTCACAATAAACTCAATTTGTAGAAGTACCCTGGCCCTATTAACACAACCCAATGAGCGTATGCAGAAACATCAATCCTAAGAGAAACTCTAAGGCAGAAAGATGACCCCCGAAGGTGCCGCCAAACACCTCCCCAATAACCGGCAAAGAGACCACAGAGCAGAAACTACCAACAACAGCACTAGCTTCACACTTAAGAGTCTATCTCTTGATTAGACTCTTGGAGGACACCTCTAGCCAAAACCAGTGGAGAAAGATGAGGTGGGGGATAAAAGCGGGAGAAGGTGACACATAGGAGGAGAGCTGGGGAGGACCCAGCGGGTCAACGGAGACTGCCTGCGGGACTCCAGAGGCAGGAAGGTATTGGAAGAACACAAGGGGTTGAGGGTGCCCCCCCAGCGGGAGGGCGGCGCCCAGGCGATGACTGCTGCCGAAAAAAGGGGTGCGGGTGCGAGCAAGATTGGGCGTTGCCCAGTCCTCCTCACCCCACCTCACGCCCAGCAGCCCCCAGACCCCGAGACGGGGCGGAGCTACTGCGCCCGCCACAGCCTGTTCGCGCCGGCACCCGCCCCCTCAGTCTTAGGTCCCGGGATGGTGGGAGGGGCGGGCCTCGTGGGGCTGGGTGTGTAGCCCGGCCCAAGCCCCAAGCAGGAATGCTCCGCCGCGGGCGGGAGGATGGGCGGGTGACCCTGCAGCCTGGGACAGGGTTGGGGGGGCGATGGCTGAGGGCGGAGGAAGAGCCTCGGCGCAGCCCACAACGCCCGGACCGAATCCTGGGCGCCCTTCGCGGGCAGAGATTGTTGCCCCCGCTCTAGCCTTGCCTTCCCTCCACTTCCCCCCTTCCCCCGCGTTGCCCCGGGCAACAGCGCCTGCCGCAGGCGGCGCGAAACGCACCTACCTAGAACCTGACAAGCCCGAGCCCCTCAGACTCCGGAGCCAGTCACCACCCCGCGTCACGGGGGCTGCCACAGCCAATAGGCGCCACTGTCACGAACCTCTGCAACCAATCCAGCTGTACTCCGGTCTCCGGGCACCCTTGAGGCTTCAGCCAATGGGCAAGAGTGGAAGGCGGGCGCTGCCGCCCGGCCCCCAACCCCCTCCTCCACTACCTCCCAGGAGGCGGGGAGCGGCCGATTGGCCCCGGCCCCGAAGGGGCAGGACTTGGGCCCTAGGCTGGGTGGGCGCGCGCTTAGCCCAGGCTGCGGGCGCTGGGAGTAGAGGCGCGGAGCTGCGGCCGCCGCCTTCTGGGCTCGCTCCCCCCAGCCCGGGTGGAGTCCCGAGGTCTGCGCGTCTGTGCCGCTCTCCCCGCCTCGGTAACCTGCTCCTCCCTGGCCGGTGTCCTGGGGTGCCGGGGTGAGATGGGGCTGGAGGCGGCGTCACAGGAAACTTTGGGAGGCTCGCCTGGCCGCGGCCGGGAAGTGGCCGGACCGGGGGGGATGATAAGCTGAGGCCGCCTGGAAGGGACTACACTGCGGGTCGGCAGCCGGAAAGGAATTCAGAGAGTGGGGGCGGAGGAGTGATTACAATGTAAAGTGTGCCCGCAGGGCGCTGGGCGATCCCCGGAGCTGAAATCCCCGGGAAGGGAAGCCGCTTTAGGGCCGCGGGACCCCTACCCCTAAAATAGGCGCTTTTCAGCCTCAGAATTGGTCACTTTTTCCTGTACCTTCCCACATTTTACTTGTTTCTATTGTGGATTGTTTTAGAATGATCTGCAGCAACTCCGGTTTACTCTGAGTCCCTTAAGGGCAAGAATTGTCTTTCAGTCCTGTATTCTCAGTGCCTGAGCCGGCCTAAAAATGTTAGAAACTCCATGCTGCAATTGTAATGGATCTTGCTTAAAAGCAGGTACTGGGAATGGCCCCCTATAATAAATTCTTACCTCTTCGAGAGTCTAGAATGCGTGGAGAACCCAAACGTGTTTGCTCTTCAGTGATGGTCGTTTCTGAAGCGTCCTTCACCAAAAGAATTTGGTGAAAAATGAGTAATGTGAACCCTGTAGGGTTATTACTAGGTAATCAGTAACAGTAGGATAAGTATTCGTCGTTATTTGAGGGTGTGATCCTCTCATGTTCCTGTAGTAGGCTTTTTAAAGCGGTGTATCTTTTGCATTGGTTGAAACCACAGAACCTCAATCCGTATTTCCCCTCCCTCTAAAAAACTGAGTAGGAGCCAAAGCAGAGTGGTGAATACTTTCTCTAGGCAGGGTTATTTATTTAACCATAGAGAACAGCCCTACATGTAGAAAAACATAAATCTTAGATTGGACTTTTTTTTAAGTCTGCTGTTTTAAAGCTAAAGAAAACCAACATAGAAATTTTAAGTAAGAGATTTCATTCTTCCTACTGAAACTGGTGGATGAAATTTCCCGTCCCTTTTTCTCCGAACATCAGCCTTAGAAAACTTAAGTACTTTCTTATTTAATTGTTAAGTGCTTTCTCAACTCTTTGAAATGTGCATAAATCCATCTGATGACTAGATAGGACTTAAGGTGGAAGCTTTTTTTTTTTTTTTTTTTTTTTTTTTTAATGCTTCAGGGAGTTAGCATCCTTCCCCATCTCCCAGTTTTCCTGAATAGGAACGTAACTTCCGTGGGCAACTTGCTCCAAGTTGCAAAACTACCTTCTGTCATAAAGACAGGATAAGTTTGTTTTTCTCCCTCTGGATAAAACCAATTAACTAACACAGATGGTCACCCCAATTGCTAAGAAGAATTATATGTGACAAATGTCAGGTCCTCTTACTTGAGGACTAGTTATTGTTCATCTTGAAAATATGTATGTAATGAGTCATACATACTTGGCTATATAAAATGGCGAGATTTCTGTTGTTGCAGTCTCTTAGCAAATTGTGATGTGCATCACATTCTAGTTTAATGCTTATTGAATAATAAAAGTGTTTTGTCCACTCCCGTTTGTGGAGAGGATTTCTGGATTGGGAGATTTGGATTTTTAATATATTTTTCCAACAATGCCTACACCCAGAATGTTGGGATGATAAAGTTAAGGTAAGTAATTACTTCTGAGATTTCCCTAAAATTTGTTCCCTAAAATGATAGTTAAAGATTGGTGTGTATTTCATAGTGACTGTTAAATGCACAAACTATGGTTCTGTGAGTAAATTTCTTTCTTTTTTTTTTTTTTGAGACGGAGTTTTGCTCTTGTTACCCAGGCTGGAGTGCAATGGCACGATCTCGGCTCACCGCAACCTCCGCCTCCTGAGTTCAAGCAATTCTCCTACCTCAGCCTCCCGAGTAGCTGGGACTACAGGTGTGCGCCACCATGCCCAGCTAATTTTTGTATTTTTAGTAGAGACGGGGTTTCACCTTGTTGACCAGGATGGTCTCGATCTCTTGACCTCGTGATCCACCCGCCTTGGCCTCCCAAAGTGCTGGGTTTATAGGCGTGAGCCACCGTGCCCGGCCCGTGTGTTTGTGTTTTTAAGGAACCCAAATCTAAAAAAAACAGTAAGAATCTTTCCATATCTACAGTTGTTCTCTGAATTTTCATCTATTCATTCCAAAACCTTAAAAAGTTGCCTGCCAGATACCAGTCATTGTGCTAGGAAATGAAATTGTCAAAGAATGTACTTGAAGTAAATGAATGTGGCAAAAATCTATGCTGCTTTTTTGAAACAAAAAATATATATATAGCAAATCCAGTTTAACATTTTTTTCTCTGTTGTAATTATCACATTGCATTGCAACACATTTAATAAACACTTTGGGTCACCTTAGTATATATTCCATGTTCCCAAATACCAAACTTTGTTCTAATAGCATTACATAATGGACAAATGAAAATAATAATGTGGACATCAAACCTAGGTGAGTAATAAAAAATGATTGAAAAAGTTTTTTACTTTTTTTGATTAGCGCCATCCATGCCTCACTCCATCTCTCCACCTCCCTTTTTTCCTGTTTCTCATAGGCTTCAAGAGGAATCTTGGTTGTTTGCCATCTTAGTTCAGTATTTCCCATACTTAACCCTCCCTTTTTTTCTTCATCTATGTCTCTTTTTTTCTGCCAAGTCCTTTGACTTGTGACTTTCTGCTTTCTAATCCTCTATTCATACTGTACCACACACACATACTGCTCCTAAAATAGAGATCATAATGAGGTATGCAACATGGAAAACATATTTATCCTTATTCTGTATATGCTGCAGTGTCTGTTTTCAGTGGATATATATTTTTTTTATTTTGAAAATTGTTCACTTGAATGAATACTGTTCCTAGAGGTCACATTTGTGTGAAATTTTCTTTAGGAATGTTTTTTTGGGCTTTCCAAATTTCAGATTTTCAAAATGGCTTAATGGTTTATTTTTCCAATCCCTGTTAGGAAAATAGCAGGGTAGTCGAAGGGAGAGGGGAGAAAAGAAGATGAGGTGGAGTTCAAGGAAGAAAAGATCTATTCTGTCTTCAAACCAAATGTCAAATGTATTAACACCATCTCCCAGCCACTTTTCCCAGCCAGTGGGTGGCCGTCCTGGTACTCTAATTAATATTGGTTCTCCTGCTTCCCTGACCTGCTCTCCGTTAAGAAATACTACCATCAACATTCAGAATCAAGACATGCCCTCTCCAAAGTGCCCCTAGATCACTCGAGGCCTGTCCATTTTAAGACACCCTTTTCTCAGTTTTTTTTTTTTTTTTTTTTTTTTTTTGGAGACGGAGTTTAGCTCTTGTCACCCAGGCTGGAGTGCAATGGCGCAATCTTGGCTCACTGCAACCTCCGCCTCCTGGGTTCAGGCAATTCTCCTGCCTCAGCCTCCTGAGTAGCTGGGATTACAGGTATGCACCACCATACCCAGCTAATTTTTTGTATTTTTAGTAGAGACGGGGTTTCACCATGTTGACCAGGATGGTCTCGATCTCTTGACCTCGTGATCCACCCGCCTTGGCCTCCCAAATTGCTGGGATTACAGGCTTGAGCCACTGCACCCAGCCTCTTCTCAGATTTTTTTTTTTTTAAGACAGAGTCTAACTCTGTTGCCCAGCCTGGAGTGCAGTGGCGTGACCTCGGCTCCCTGCAACCTCTCCCTCCCAGGTTCAGGCTATTCTCCTGCCTCAGCCTCCTGAGCAGTTGGGATTACAGGAATGCACCACCATGCTCAGCTAATATTTGTATTTTTATTAGAGACAGGGTTTCACCAGGTTTAGCCAGGCTACTTTCAAACTCCTGACCTCAAGTGATCCGCTTGCCTCGGCCTCCCAAAGTGCTGGGATTACAGGCAAGAGCCACCACTCCTGGCCTTTTCTTAGAATTTACCTGACCTTTTCCTCATCTCCTTATCAGTGGTTCATTATGCCTTCATAGTTAACTGTAAAATGTGTATGCCTGTGTGACAGTGCTGTAATAATGCATTTGTATGTATGATATTAGAATCACCTGAGGATCTTTTCAAAAATAGACTCCCAGATTAACTCCCAAAGATTCTCACTGGAAATGCAAAGGAGTTCAGGAAAGTCTGTATGTTTGGCATGAGACCAGTGAATTGTTCAACATGGTGTGTTGAACTCAGGCATTTATCTCTACACTGTCCTGAAAATCCTTGATACAGATAAACATAGGTCCAGGTGACCAGAAATCTAAGACGTAGGATCTCTGAGGGGGCATGGTTGAGAAAAGATGCTGTAAGCAACAGGATTGCTTGAAAGTCTGTAAAGGCGTAGGGAGACCCTTCTTCTCCCTCCAAGATCATTTTCCCCACCAAACAGCTAGGTAACACACTACCATACCACAATCCAGAGGCAACAAGATTTACTCCTCAGTATCATTAGGGAAGCTCTGATCTTGAAGATACAGAGACAGCTGAATAGTACTTAGGAGAAAAATGCCTTACTGCACATTGGGGTAAAGGGAATACGTTAAAGTCTACATACTGAACTTTGAGACTTCTCCTCCAGACTCCCATAATGCTGTATTTAGGTTCCTATCCCTCAGAGAAGATCTTACAGGATTCCTTTTAGGGAAATTTCCTTGCATAAGGGAAAAGTATTTTTATAGCTAGTGAGTACTGAGGGTGAGGGAGTGGATTTTCTAAAATGGACAGATTCCCTACCCAATCACATCAAAAATAAAGAATCCCAATCCTTAAAAATACTGTACCCTTGAATGAAAACAGGATGCTATTTTTCTAAAGAAAAATTCAGAGAGACAAACAAGCTTTGAAAAGTAAAAAAAAGAAAAGAAAAAAAAGAAATTCAATAGCAGATGATAAAAGGAAATTGAGAAGTCTCAGAAAAACAAAAAGACAAGCAGTTGAAAAATATGAGGAAAAAATGTAGGATCAATTCAGGAGATGATACATCTAATCTATAGAAAGAAAAAAGGAGATGAGGGAAGCAGGCAAAATTGTCAAAGGAAGAATGAAGGACCTGAATTTCCAGATTGAAAAGGATCTAGTGAGTGCCTTGCAAAATGAATGAAAAAGACACACAAAAGCACTTAATCCTAAAATGTCAGAACAGCTGAGATGTTTTAAATTCCCTGAATGCTTCAGATAAAATAACAGAATCCAGACAAAAGAGCAGGCATGAAAACAGAGAAAGGCATTGGACTTCCAAATGATACTAGAAGCTAGAA